GTTTTTGATCCGTTTATTATTTGGGTCAAGTTTGGATTGATCCTATTCGTGTTGGGTCATTTAGGGTCGGGCCTGAACCTGACCCGCTGACCCGAATTGACAACCCTACTTCACACGATCATATGGGATTAACTGTTAGAAAATTTATGTGCCTATTGCCAAACTTAATACAATTCGGGAGCTACTCTCTTGCAGTAAATCAAGAGTGACTTTTATACTAACTTGATGTCAAAATTACCTACTTAAATGGCGACATTGATAAAAATGTCTACATGAATATACCTCCAGACTTGGAGAATAGGTTGAACAACATGTTGGTTTGCAAGTTAAATGTCTTATATGATTTGAAGCAATCTCCTCATAGTTGGTTTGACAGGTTTACTAAAATAGTGACTACAAATGGATATCATCAGTGTTAAACTACTCATACACTATTTGTTAAATCCAAGTCTAGATGTAAATTTGATATCATAGTATATGTAGATGATATTATTCTGACAGGTGAAGATTCATTGAAAATTATAAACTAAAAAGGTGCTTGCAATATTTCAGATCAAAACCTCGAGATTCTTCGATATTTTATAGGAATAGAGGTGACTCAATCAAAAAGGGAGTTGTCATATCCCAAAGGAAGTACACCTTAGACCTATTAAGAGAAACTGTCATGTTTGGGTGTAAACCTGCTAACACGCCCATGAATTCCAACAAAAAGATAAACAAAAGTGAAGATACTCCAAATGATAAAGAAAAATATCAAAAACTTGTAAGCAAACTACACTTGTCACACACAAGACCTGATATTGTATGCTAGGTCATTTTGATAAAGGAAAATATCAAAAACTTGTAAGCAAACTACTCCACTTATCACACACAAGACCTGATATTGTATGCTAGGTCATTATAGTAAATTAGTATATGAATAATTCAAATAAAGATCATTTCGAAGAAGTGAATAGGATCCTGAACCACTTGAAGATAACCCATGGATATGGTTTGCTCTTCAAAATATCTGAAAACCGTGAAATTGAGGTATACACAGATACCAAGTGGACAAAAGAGAACCAATAGGAAAACAATCAATGAATATTATTCTTATGTCTGGGGCAATCTCATCATGGGGAGAAGTAAAGATTAAGTTGGTTTCTTTTGGAGCAGTCAACAAACCAAATATCGTGCTCATGTATTAGAAATATATGAGGAAATGTAGATTCAATGGCTATTAAGAGAACTTAAAGTTGAGACAAAAGCCAAAACTAAGATCTTGGGCGATAGCCCAACATCTATTAGTATAGCAATAATCTTATGCATCATGATAGAACAAAATACATCAAAATTAACCTATACTTCATCTCAAAAAAGGTCAACAATGAAATGTTCAACAAAGCTATGTTCCTACATGACTTCAAATTGTTCATAATCTCATCAAAGCACTATGAAAGGCCAGTCATGATGAATTAAAATCCAAGCTTGATTTGTACAGTATATACAATCCAACTTGAGGAGTGTTGGAAAGTGCTAATCCACATCCCTGGTTATGAGAGAATTTAATTCCTTCTCTCAAAATATATTTCACTAATTGTGTTTCCTTCTATTAGATATTTCCTATTGTATGTTTTTCCTATTTGGTAATATTATTATTTTATTTCCTTTCTTTATTATATATATGTTAAAAGTGTAATTCATTGAGATGCGGGAAATAAAATTATTTGGCAGATTACTACACAAACCCCTTCCAACTTTTTTTTCCACGATCTTTTGATCAATCCATCAATAGATTTTATTCATTCTAGACCTTGGTAACAAATTGCACTATCTTCCAACTGTTTGGACTAGGAATTCAATGCACCACTTTCTACTTAAAAATTTTTTTTGCAGTTTGACAGATATTCTATGTAAAAAATTTGTGTTCAGAAACCCTATGATAAGAGTGAAAATTGCACTCTTTCATGGTTTATGGGAAGCTCTTCTGGCACACAATAGTTGTAAGATCTTGGAATTACTTTATTGCAGGATGTTTGTGTATTATCATAGAAATATAATTATAATCAATCAGATTTAGAAAAAAAAAAGCAGTCAAAAAACATTGCCCAACAGAACCAATGCAATAGATGTAGCATTAGTTCATATGACAACGAAAGCACAAATATTCATCATTTGCCCAAATTACACTATTTCGCATTCAAATCTTGCTCTTTTTCCTTCAGTGCCGTGTCCCGCTTGTAATAGAAACTCGTTGTCTCAAACAAAGAGAACAACAAAATGCAGCAGTTGGATAAGATCATACTTCATTTCTGTAGACTTCCTTCAAGTCTCTCTATTGCAGCGCCAACTGCACTAGTATTTGTGGCCCCAGTACTATCAGACTGTAGGATCTGTTTATTTGCCTTCTCAACAAGCTTAATATGAAGCCATCCTGGAAAATGTAATCCTCAAGTAGTTAAACAGTTGTGCTATATCTGAGAAAACAGAAAAACACAAAATAAATGACTGTAAAAATGAAAATATCATTGCCATAAAATTAGCTAATAGTGTAATAGAGGTGCAGAAAAGCATTCATTTTCGTAATCATGGGATCTAAACACATTCGCAAATTCAGCATGGAAAGAAATTGGTGTCAAGTGGAATTTTATGGTGTGCAAAATAAGTCTTAAATGCTGCTTTATGCTGGATGAACAAGCCTTGCACTTTCATAGGAGAGTATTAGAGGGAAGACTGAGAACAATGATTAGATTAATTCCAATATGATTCCAAAGTTGTCATGAAAATATAGAGGAGAGACTACCAACCCTCTTCATACTAGTCATAGCCATAGAACGTTAAGAAGATGGGTAGTTGCATCGCTGACTGATTCAAACAAAATTTGTAGTGACATTATTCTTAAATTAACCCGGCCAAATTGCATCTGTCAAGACATGGAATAACAATGTCCAAATTAAAAACATTACTTCATGGCGGCTAAAGTGTATGGCATCATTTGTTTGCATTTTAGACCTCAGATTGTTTTTATTACATCTTTGGAAATTTTCTTCCAAAAAATAACTACAGTGAGCCAAATCAAAGAGAGAGAAAGTGTGAGAGAGAGAAGTAAAAGATGCATTCACGAATTACCAAGAGGATAACATATTCCAGCTCCAAGTGCAGAGCCAAGCAAGACATTTCTAGCACGCCACTTCACTGAGCCTGGTACTGCATCAATAAAGAGCAGGTGTTGAAATTAAACATGATTTTGACTTATAACTAGTAACGGCAGATATATAATAATTAAAAACTAAATTGACATAAAATAAAAAATAAAAAGATAACTTCTTTCTTGAACGAAACCGTAAGGCTAGGAGTAATAAAATACAAGCGTTTGAGATAAATCTTTAATTAGAGACCTCTAAGAAAATACCGAAAGAGAACAACATAAGCTGAAGCCAGATCCAAAAGTTATGAGTTGAACTTTATTAGGAAGGAGGCACAATGAGAGGAATTTTACTAAACAAAATGTGAAAGAATTACAGAACAAGACCAACAATAGAAAGACAGCAGGCAATTTCATATTATCTTTTCAATTTCAAAAACCAATGTGAGTGGTTTTTTGTCTTCCTATTTGATGTGTAAATTGGAATCTACATGAATTAAAATGGAAATAAAAACATTTGCTGAGAAAAGAGAAGAAATAATTCTATTTAATAAAAACATCACATCGCTACACGATAAGGGTTGATGTGAATTTGTATTAGGATATTCTGTTCCAAAATTTCCCATTTAGATGGCCATCGACTAATCAATTACTACACTAATGAAGCTGAATAGAATTGGAATTTCGATACATCATAAAACAGAACTAATATCAAGACATCATAAAACTGAAGTAATATCCATGTGTGGAAATTAGTAGCACATGCGCAATAAACACAGAAATAAAGTTTAAATTCAGAAAAAAAAAAACTACTTTACTCACGTATTAGGCCAAACATAGCAGCTGTAGCTGAACCAGCTCCAGCAACATTAAGTGCATCATGAACTCCACGCCTATCAGCAAGAAGGTTTAGTAAACCGTAGAATGTTGCAGTAAACATGCCAAGACGAATGCCGCCAATTATAGAACCGCGAGCCACTTGAATGAACCTCTTCTCCATTGCATCTCTCATCAACTGGTACTGCTCACGCTTATCAGTTGTACTCCCAAGCTTTAACATGACTTCTGCATCCTTGCTCTGAGAAAAAATATAAGACTTTTTATAGACAGGAAACAAGCTTATATGAAAACTATGACATTTCATGTTTCTCAAGCCAAGTCAATTTCTATGGAGACATTATTAGATTTTCAAAAGCATTTCCATGTACTTCCAATTTGGCTAACGGGGTCGAGAAAACAGGATGATTTTCTCTATACATAGAAAAATGCATAACAAAAATAAAGTTTTGTTTTATTTAGGTTTTTAGTTGTTTAATTTAAATTATGATTCTAGATTAACTTTATTTATTTTACTGGATAAATTATCATTTTTAGGTAATCTTTACGTTTGAATTTGAAATAGAATTTGACCTGATTTCTATCATATCATTATAACCCTGTTTATATAAATAGAGATTACTAGAATGTAGTTAAAAAAATTAATGAATGGGTTAAATTAGAACCTATTCCCATTTAACTTGAGAGTTTCTCTCTTCCTGAAGATCTGGCTTCTTCTCTCCCGATATTGCTCTATTTCATTTGATATTGAAACCCAATCCAACTCCATTCACTAAGGACCTAGCTACATTGTGTAGCATCACGTATTCACCATTCTGTGCCCTCCATGAAGCCTTTACTACATTTTTACCATCTTTTTGCCTCAGTGCATTGCAACTCAACTTGAGTCCACACATGCTTGCTAGAATTACTCTATGTTGCATGGTTGCATCTAAAATTTTTGCTCCCACATTCTTAGCTCACTATTCAGCATTATCAATAGAATCCATATTCCTTAATGATAAAAGTTTCCAATTCCATCATTCAGTTTGATGAAATTCTTATTTGTTATTATCACATCAAGGAAACAAAGAATATTGATTGTTCAATATGAATAGCTTATATACGGAAGATATATGGCAGAAACAAAAGCATGACTAGAGGATTCCAAAATTATCTATATTCACTACAGGCTCAACATTAAATATTTCATCATTGGTCATAACCATCTCCATGATAAAAGATATTTTGAATAGAATTTAGATCTAGCTAGGGATGTTTGGATATACCTTATTGCTTGTAAGTTTTAAAAGCCAAGTTTAAGGAAACCTTCAATTATCAGTACAAATCACATATAAACCAATTTCTATAATTTCTACAAATCAAAAAGAAGTACCAATTTTACAATTTTAAACATCTCAATCACAACCATAAGATCAAAAATCTAACCTGTATTCTGTGTTATTCTATGCTGATTATTATTGCAAAGATCTGTCATTTTTTCTAAAATGAACTTGATGATAATTGAGAGCCATCATAAGTAGTTAAGCCTCTTTATGAATAGCTTTAATTTCAGATAATATCAAAATGTAATTTGAAGATTAAGTCAAAGCATGCAATTGAGATATTCTCAATTGAGTCAAAGACACAATATGATCGACATATCATTATCCGTATAGGATTCTTCTCTAGAACTGTAGTTTGATCCATATATGTCAAAATAACTTTCCGTTACCTCATCAACAACACAAATTGAGTTCCCTGTAATCAATTCTACACCCTTCATGAGACTCAAATTTTATATAAGATTGTTTAAAGAAAGATGTATGATGCATTGGACCATCCAAAACTAACACCTCTAAATTCTTATATATGTCTAGCCTGGGCGCATCACACATTCAAAGGATTTTTTTTTTTTTTTTGAAATTTGAGACACTTTATTCACATAAAAGAAGATTAGAAAAATCATAACATCACACATTCAAAGGATTTTTCTTTTTTTTTTTTGAAATTTGAGAGACACGCCCAACTTTATTCACATAAAAGAAGATTAGAAAAATCATATTAATCAGAAACCAAAGAGGAGAAATGCAAAATACATCAAGAAACTAAAACAAAGATAGTAATGATGGATAAACTGAAGGTCCCCGCTTGAAAGTAGAAGTCCAGCGAGATAGCCTTTTGAATCCAACTAATTGCAGGAGAATCGGTAGCAACAAACAAAAACTCAAACTCTTAGCTGAAATATAGAAGAAACTTGGACGAAAACATAGAAAACTTGAATTAAATCAACATAACTCATGCAAAGCTGAAAAAATGAGTTACAAAATTATGTCGACTCGTAGAAACTAGAATATCTAGAAGAAGAAAATGACTGCCCCAAAGCAACAGAAGAACCTTCAAGCTCATAATAGAACATGTACCTCCTATGGTGCTCCATCCAGTTAAACTGGTCCTAGATTACGAAGAACTCACAAACTCCAAGCCGGAATCAAGTAAAACAATCAACAACAACATGAACAAACACAACAATAGCAAACATTTATCCCACTAAGTGGGGTCGGCTACATGAATCCTTTTTGTCCATTGTGTCCTATTGAGTGTCATATTTTAATTTAATTCTGATAAATTAAGATCATTTTTTATACAATCTGCCCAAGTTTTTCTAGGTCTACCTCTGCCTTTCTTAACATAAGTCGAATCTAAAACATCTACTCTCCTAATCGGATCAACAGATGGTCGACGTTTAATGTGACCAACCATCTAAGACGACTCTCTCTAATTTTGTCTGTCTGTAGCTACACCAACCCTATCCCGGATATATTCATTTCACATTTTGTCTCTAAGTATAAAGCCACTCATCCACCTAATCATCCCCATCTCAGCAACACTGCGGCAACCTTTAACTTCGTTTTATGCTTGTCTTTTCAAGGTCAATATTCAGGGCCATAGAGCATTGCAATTCTCACCACCAAGTTTTCCTTTCAGTCTAAGCAGTACTTTTCTATCATGCAATAGGCCCAAAGCATTCCTCCACTTAAACCAACCAACCTGAATTTTACTAATAGCATCGCCATCTATATCACCATCACTTTGAACAACAGACCTGAGACATCTAAAGTGTTCACACCTTTTAATAAGTTGATCGTCCATAGTTACAATTCTGTCACTAGAGATACTACTACAAAAATTAAGTTCCTTGTATTCAGTTGTAGTTCTACTCAAATGAAAGCTTTTAGACTCCAATGTAGACCTCCATAATTCAATTTTTTCCTGAGCTTTCTCACTCGTCTTATCTACGAGAAGGATATCATCAACAAAAAGCATACACCAAGGTACATCCTCCTGTAAATGTCCAGTTAGAACATCCATAACTAAAGAAAAAAGATATGGGTTTAAACTAATCCTTGATATAACTGAAATAGAAGGATGTAATCTAACAAAAATAGGAAAATATTTCATCAATCCTCCATCTGTTCGGAACACAAGTAACAACTCTAATATAAATATCTTTAATGACATGAATATAAGTCATATCAACACCTTTCTTTTCAAGAACTCTCCAAAGGATATCCATTGTAACCTTATCGTAAGCTTTTTCTAAATCAATAAAAATCATATGTAGATCCTTTTTATTATCTCTGAACTTCTCCATCAAACCTCTCAATAAATGTATAGTTTCCTTAGTAGACTTGCCTGACATAAATCCAAATTGATTACGAGAAATCTTTGTAATGCGTCTTAACCTATATTCAATTACCCTCTCCCATAATTTCAAAGTATGACACCTCAACTTAATTCCTCTATAATTTGCACGCTCTTATGCATCCCCTTTATTCTTAAAAATGGGGGCCAAAATACTCTTCCTCCACTCCTGAGGTATCTTTTTAGTTTTTAAAATAATTTTAAAGAGTTTAATAAGCCAAGAAACTCTCAAATCTTTTATATATTCGCACACTTCAATTGGGATATCATCAGATCCTTCAGACTTTCCACCATTGATTTTTTTAAATCCTCCTCAACTTTTTTTTTACTAATGCGACGGTAAAAATGAAACATTTTATTATTAGTAACAATATTAAGATCACTAAGATTGATTATATTTTCTGAAACTTCATTAAAAAACTTATCAAAATAACTCACCCACCTATGTTGAATATCTTTTTCTAAGTAAAACAATCCATCCGATAAAATTTCAATGAGGCAGTAAAATAAGAAGTTAAAGAATTCTTGAGGAATAGAGACCAATAGCTCATATTATTTATCTTCCTCAATCCTAATGAGAAGAATATAGAGAAAAGATGTCTGTCCATCCATCAGCAACCACTGAATAAATCTTAAAAGAGATATCATTAGAACAGAGACCGGAATATGGTTGAGCCCATGACCTAATGAGATTCATTATAGCAATCCAATGCATCTTATAATGAAAGATGCAAACTTTCGTATAGTATCTATAACTTATCAGAAAAAGAAAAGTAGAAGACCAACTGTAGTATCTGTAAATATCATGAAGCAGAAAACAGAAACTCATTAAACTATAATTAATTTTCCAAATCAATTACAGCAAGGCAAAAAATTTCGATGAAGTAAATGACTGAGCACGGATCCAAATCTTCAGAACAAGACCAAAACTTCCAGCTAATTAACCGATTCTCCAAGAAGAATTAGCAAGTTATTTAAAGTCGCTGTAAAGCAAACTGGAGAGAATTATAATAACTTGTAGAGTACTTTGATGTGATGAGGAATATCGACTTTAAATTTGAATTTGTTACTAATTGATAGTCCAAAAAATATTCTGAGAAGGAAAATCAGCAGAATTAATTGAATTTCTAAGGACTATGTTATTCCTTTCAATCCAAATATGATGTGCAATGACCTAAATTGCAAGCAAATAAAATCGCTTGACCACATTGTTGTCAAGAGTATCAGCATGAAAAAGAGCTTCGAAATGTTGCCACCAACAACGAAAAAACTCTCATTAGGAGCACATATTCTCAAAAGAGCTTGTGAGTAAGGACTTTCGAAAAATAAGTGTGTGAGTCTCACAAGTAAAATGACAGTGAACACAATTGTAAAAGCAGGAAGGCCCTTCAATTTTAGGCCCATGATGGATTATTTTCCAGACTGTAAGAGAAAATCTGAGAGAAAATCCTTTGCACCAAAAGTATTTGCTCCAATTAACCTTGGCAAGGTTATTATAAAAAAGGTGATAAACTCGTCGATCCTCATAACCCTCATAACCCAGCCATAGATATGCTTTAGCATTCTCCCGAATAGGTGTATTCTGGATAAGTTGTAAACAACTAACAGGAACAAAGTTATTAGACTTCATTCAGCTTTAGTATGCATGAGATAGCAAAATCAAGTAAAAACAACTGGGTCAAATTTTTCAAAAAGAGAACAACCTTCTAGCAATGGGTCAAAAAGAAGAAAAGATACTATTGAAATTAATATGAATTAATATGAAATGATAAGCAATCTCTAGATCTCATAGTCACTCTTAGCAAATCTTTCCAAAATGTGAAAACTTTAGTGAACTTGTGTCATAGAGAACAATAGTGTCTAGGAAAAGATAGGAGTTGAATTGTAATTCCTCCAGATAATTTTTGCCTTACAAATCACATTAAAGTTGTCCAAGTTGGGGATGTCGAGGTCACCATATTCCTTAGGAAGTGTTGTGGTATTCCAAGCAATGTTATATAATGTTATATAATTTCTTTCCTTGAGAACTATGATGTACAAGATTATAACATGAAGAAAAAATCTTTCTTCTCAAACCGTTAGGAATATTAGTAGATCCGAGCCAATAGTATAAATAGCTCCAAATAGAAGTTTTGAAAAGCTATAGTCTATCAGCCGCAGAAAGTAATTTTTGTTTCCATCCGAGAAGATAAAAATTAACTCTATCCAAACCTTTATGGCAGTCTAAAGCATTCAGCATGCTACCTTTAATGACAACACCCAAATAATCCCAAGGTAGAACTTATGTTGAAAACTGCTACCAGCACAATTTTGTTGTTAAAGAGTGCAGTTGACTAATTTAGAGAAACAAATGGCTGATTCAGAGGCATTAACACAAAGATTAGTGATCCTATTAAAGATGTTTATCATGAGAGAGAGTTAATGGACTGTAAACTAGCATTTCCAAATACCAGCAAGTCATCAGCATAAATAAAATGAGAGAAAGCTTGATGACAAGAAGAATTTATAATAACATTAAAGTGTTCCAATAGAGATGAGAAAGCATCCATAACTGAAGCAAAAATGTATGGGCATAAAGGGCAGCCGTGTCTTAATCCCAAATTGAATGAAAAGTAGCTTTTAATCTCTGTGTTCAGGAGAACAGGAAAATGTATATCATCAGCACATGCTTGTATCGACTTAATGAAAATAATAGGAAAGCCCATCCTCCCCATCCGGTTATAAAGGAAATGTCTATTGAAATCATCAAAATCTTCCCATAAATCGAATTTAGAGCAAATTCTTTTTGAAACATTGGATGTATTAAAACAATAAAGAAATTCGTTAGCTGAGATAATGTTGACTGCTATACCTCTAACAGCAACAAAAATAGCTTGTGATTTGTGAATGATGCTAAGGAGAATAAGCTTGAGTCTATCAGCCAATAATTTTTTGATAACTTTGTCGATAGCATTACAAATAGAAATTGGTTGAAAATCATTAAGATTTTGAGCATACAGTTTTTTAGGAATAAAGATTATGGCAGAGTTTTTAACTCATCTTTGAAGGGTAAACTTTTTAAAAAATATATTTTATAGTCTCAATGCAATCCTTCACAAGAATATCCCAAGTGTTTTTATAAAATTCGAAAGTAAAACCGTCCGGTCCCCGAGCTTTATTGGATCCTATTGAAAAAAAAGCTTTTATAATATCCAAATCAGAGAGATAAGCAATAAGCTCTGTAGCATCATTAGAATTTTTATATTGAAGAACAGGAAAAGTATTATCTTCACAGAGCCCATGATTGGAATTATTAAGTCAGTCAGAAAAATAAGAGAAGCATGTGCAGCAATATCATCCTGAGAATTAAGAGAATGGTTATCAACAAGTAGTGCTTTGATAGTGCAAGAATTATTCCTAACTTTGATTCTTTAAATAAAAAAATTAATGTCGTCCACTCTTTTAAAAAGCCATAAGTATTTGGCTCTTTGTTTAATCACTTATATTTACAAGCAAAAGAGTTAGCCGAATCTTATTGAATGGAAGAGGCTTGAACAATAAAATTATTATTGATAGCATCATTCTCCAACTAAGCAAAAATATGAGTTTGCTTCAACTTATGGTCTTTAATCGTGGAGGAAATAGTATTTGAAGATTTTCATTTCCACTTTTATAAAGCATATTTAGTATTTTTGAATTTATTGTATAGAGTGAACGTATGACTATCCTTCGTAGTATTGTTCGAGATGGAAGAAATTATAAGATGAAAGTCCAGAAAATGACTAACATAGTTTTTATAAAGAAATTTGCACTTACACTTAGTATCATGCCCAAAATGGATAGAAATAAGAAAATGATCCGAAGTGAGAGGCTCCATAACTTTATAGTATGAAAAGGGAAAAGATTCCATCCACATATTATCACACAAAAGCCCTATCTAAAAGTCAACGAATAGAGTTATAAATTTATTGTTTGAACCAACTAAAAGAATGACCTACATTTTGAAGCTCAAAGAGTTCAAAGTTAAAAATGCATTCATTAAAATAAATAATTTTACTTGGGATAGGAAGAGTCCCTCCAATTTTCTCATACAGCTTCTTATACAATTGAAATCCTCCAAGATAATCCATGGCCCATTAACAGAATTTGCCATAGTCAAAATAGCATTCCGGAGATATTTACGCTTCGTAGCATAATTTTCAGCTTAAACAAAAGTGATATAGAAAGAAATGTCAGCTGAATAGTTAATGAAGCCATGTATATACTGAACATGAGTATGCAAAAGTTCTAAGGGAATTACAGAAGGATTCCATTTTATCCAAATACCTCTATTCCCAGACAACTTTAAATTATCCAGACTATCCTAAGCAGGAAAAAGCTTTGAGGTAAGAGGAGTGAATTAAAGAGAGAGGAAGAAATTTTTGTTTCAAGCAAGCGCATCATATCAATATGATTCTCCTTAAAAAGATTTATGCAATCTGAAACACAAATATCTAAGCATATTCAACACAAATTCCAAGAAATAATGTTTGGAAAAAAACATAATGAAATTAATAATGAGAAGAACCCCCTTTGCCTCTTCCTTTCTTACCTTTGGAAGAGGAACAAATAGAGGAAGAAAGATCAACAAAGACAACAAGAAAGGTTTGTGTTATTAGGCAGTGAAGTATGGTGAAGCAGAGAAGATGTAGTAGCTTGAAATATACCATTATTATTGATAGGGGCTTTACAAACATGCAAAATAGGGTCCTTTGATCATCAAAAGGGGCTTCAGCCGATGATTCCCACTACAAGCAGGGGAGGAAGGTGGGTTATTTAGATCTGGTGCAAGGTTTCTAGAAGATTTAACAAATTGAATAGGTTGTGCTGAGGAAGAAAGAGGGGGTCTCTCTCTCTCCCCTCGTATGTGTGTGAGTGTACCAATGGATTCCAGCATCTTATCTACAATTGCTGTCTCAAAAAATCTTAACCGAACAAAGGCAAAACGGAGAAGATGGTAGATTAAGTAAAACTGCATCACTGAGTGAAAAACTTTAAATCCTAACAAATGTCAAACAGCCATCATGATAGAGACAAGACACGCTAGCAAACAAATTCTTCATAGTTGCAAGCATAGAAACCCGGACATGGGAGAATAAAAAAATATAAGACATAAGTAAAATAACCCTACATAAAACCAAGCCACATATTTCAAACAAGTTAAAATAAGAAAATAACTGAAAAAAGAAAATGCTTAGGAAGAGAGTTATATGTAATCTGAGCGTTTAGAAATAGAAGAAAACAGACGAATGTCTTGATTAAAGATGATGAAGCTGTTGCACCAAGAAGAAAACAAAAAATTGGAAACCCTATAAGATTTAATATATGTTTGTCTTACTATCACAAGTATTCCTTTCATTTCTAGATGCTCCAGAGATCAACACTTCTTGTTTGAAACGAGAAACCATGGAAAAGGAGCATATGCAGTGCAACATTGATTTGAAAACTCTTAAGAGAAAATTTCTCAAATAATTCCCTGTTTATCAACTAGTTGTCAGTGTGCAAGGAAAAGAGCTTGAAGCCTGGAGACAAACGGAAGAAGGAATAAAAGATATGGTAGCAATAGCAAACTCTTCATTGAATGCAGATGAGCAAAGCAACAACTTACCACAGATGAAGCAGCCTCCTTGCTTCCTCCATAAAGTATGCCAGCCAGTACACCCATGACAGTTGCTGTACCCCAATTTCCAGTTCCTACAAGTCTTGGAGTAGAATGTTCCTGAAAAGATAATTAAAGGGCAATAAAAAATTAGCTAACTTGCTCACCTGAACAATGAATATAGCAAAAAATTAAACTTTACGATCCAAGGTAAGGGAATACGGAGAAAATGAGTTTCTTTAAATCAGTGGCAATGAACTACTACTTATTTGATAGTTTTCCTAGCAACATAGAGTAAGCTGCTTCAAAACCGAACAAGAATTCTTTTTAAAAAGTAGCTTGGACACTTGAACATAAAAGCGCACAGAAATATGTATAAAAGACGATTAGAATCACTGTTAAACTCATAATAGATGAATTGCTTCGTTCAAGAAGTAATGAATGTTGTAAAATAAATTAGAGCCAAAATAATTATTCTAGAGTCACATTTGAGACTCAAGAAGCAATTACCCTTTCATCCTGTCCCTGGCTGAAATTGTCTGTATCACCCATGTGTAGCAATTTGCACGGATAAATCAAAATAATAGCCTTCCTGGAGAGAAACAGGGGAAAAGAAAATTTAACAAGTTCATAAATCAGGTTACAGATATAATAATTGAGTGATTAATGGAAGATGATAAATGGAAAACAAAATTTTGAATCCAAAAGCATTGCAGTGGAGCTAAAATTGACATGTGAGAACCTTTAACAAAATGAAAGTTTAGGTCTCGAATTTAGATTTGATAGTTGAGTAAGAGAAACAAGAAATTTAAAATACTAGTAATATGAATAAAGAAGAAGGGGAAGAGAGCTAAGCAAACCTGGTGGAGAATCGGAAACAATTTTTTAAACCCTTGATGCAGATCAACCTAAGTAAATGGCCAAGAAGACAAGCTTAATAGGTCGGATTCAACAGGGCGGCCCCTAGGCGACTCAATATGTATTTGACCCACAATAATCAATAAAGGATTTTTGTCATATGAGCACAAAAAATGAGTTCACCAAAACAGACTTACCCTCCAGATGATAGGCAGACTTGGGCTCATTTGCAAAAGCTTTTAAATAGGATTTTACAATTCATTTGGCTGTAATACTCAAGTAAATGACTATTAGCACAACTCCATCTTCTCCACATTTCCGATTGTGATTTGCTCCTGGCTTTTAACAGTCGAGATCCAGAGTTTACGGTGGAAGAAGTTCACCTTAAAACAACTACCGCATGATCTCCACCACAGAAATTGCCATCCCCAGATCCCTCCAACTTTGCCTCCACATCTATCAGACTAGGGTGGTAAGGCATTGGCAAGTTAACAAGTGCTTTTCTCCAACAATCCTTCACCACAGTCCCCATGGCATCATCAGTTTCTTCAAATAAAATTGATTCCAGTTTTCCCAACTTTCAAGCAGAGCACCAAAAAAAAAAAAAGAATTGTATTCAAAACGAGAATTGTATTCAAAACGGTTTTTTTATGAGCATTTACAGATGAGTATTACTAGAATGTATGTACAAGCTACGCTTTCAAAAAGTCTAGTCTTTCAGCTAATCCTCGATGGTTTGAATTCTGCCCTTCATTATTTGATTGATCGTGACTTTAAAATAGAGCACCATCACACTCACTTTCTTCCCTTTCTTCCCTTTCTTCCTCCCTTCCTTGTCAGTTTCTGCATGAGCATTCAAGTCCATGGCAGAACCTGAATCTACATCTTGATGAGCAGGAGGAAGTCCGCAGTCATTCACATGGAATGCCACTCTTATTACTTTCAATAATAAGAACTCTTTGTATCCAATAAATTTATTTGTCCTTTTCTATTTCTAATAATGGAAAGTATAAAAAAATTATGGGTAAATCTGTTAAAACCGAAATTTTGAATACTTCAATAACTGCTTGACTTTATTGACAGCTGAATCAGATTAAATGAGATTTACAATCTTTAAGAATATATGGATATTTTTGTCTTTTGTATGAAAAAAAGGTAAAAGCTAGTTGTTTCGCCAAACATAAAAACAACATTTTCTGTTTAAAAAATCATAAAAAAAAGGTTCGATTTTCGGACAGTTAGCGGCGTAGCTACAGCAGCTTTAAAATATTGTTCTCAAAAGTAGATTTTAAAAAAAAATCTGTAAAAGTAAAAGCTCAACCAAACAAACCCTTAATCACAGCCAAAAGAAGCATCCACTAAGGCTCAAGAACGACTTCAACTCCATCCAAATTGGTTTTCATGGACCAAACAAGCTACATCGGCTCTACGATCACTGATGCATCCCAATTTAATCCAAAGAATAGGTGGCCTCTTGAACGATTTGGACACCCAACCCAAGCTTGTATAAAGCAACAAGCCCTCGTTCTCCCAATTCTTTTGTTTACACATATATTGCTCATTTTGTAGCCTTATCTGTAGTACTTGAGATATAAGATTTAAACTAATAAATCTCAAGAAGAGCCAAGGGTTGGCGTTATTTGACTCTTTTCCTCCTAATCAATTATACCTCAAGCAATCCAATAGTTCAAGTGTGGCCTATGAGTAGTTGAGGATTTAACATGCTTTTAAGTGCAGTGAGCGTGAACGCAAGTCTAAAACTGAAAGAGGCATTCAAAGATTTTTCGAAGGACCCAACATAGATACAACCAGAGAAGTAATCCTAAAAAAAGATTATGTTGGTTTGAAAGAGCAGCACTTCATAACTATGACACAATTGACAGCAATTGAAAGAGACATTAACGGATAAACTAGGAAACGTGATCAAGGGGGCCTAGACTATATACCAAGAACGGCACTAAGTGCACGCCAGCTAAAGGAATCGACTAACTCGACTGAAATGAGAATAAACAATTAAGGAAGAACATTGCAATCTCCAGATGAGACCTATTAAGGAAGAGTCAATTCCTGAGCCCAGAGGCCCAAGGAATGGACTGAAAGAAAGCCTCAATTATTGAATGCCTTCTCTAAAGATTTGCTAAAATCAGGGCTCCCCTCCTGAGCCCAGAGGCTCGAGGAATGGACTGAAAGAAAGCCTCAATTATTGCCTTCTCTAAAGATTTGCTAAAATCAGGGCTCCCCCATAGTTCAAAATCCCTCATCTGGGCTTTTATAGATGTTAACCACGTACTTTAAGCCCATGATGTCACTCATCATCAATGATGCACTAATGTGTTGACTCCTTTTCATAAATCTCAAAGAATTGGCCGTTAGATAATTCTTCGCATATTGATTGGAATCATCGCTTCCTTTTTAAAACTAAAAAGGATGTTCAGCACCCAATTCGTTAGAGCTCAACAACCATGGAAAAACTCACAAATGGAGTTGAGAATGCATCAAAAGACTGAAAAGCTCCTCAAAACTTTCATAACTAGGTTTCAAAGAGAAATGTTGAAAATTATAGATCTGAAATCAATTGTTGCCCAAGCCACAATGACCCAAGGACTCCCAGAATGATCATTCAAAATAACTCTCGTTCTACAAAAGCTAAGTACATCGCCTGCATTGGTTGAACTTGTCAATGCACACATAAACCATTGTGAATTAAATCAAACAAAAAGGCTTAGACAATTCTGCCGAGAACCAACTCATCCCAAGATATCGCAATTAGACATGATTCACCTACAGCCCATACGATCATATTACCAAAACCCATGAATCCACCAGCTATTAAGGCTAATGCCAATCAAAAGAAGAAGCAACCACCAGTTGGCCAACAAGCCATCATCAACATCCCATCTCGTAAACACCCAACTAAAGATATCAAAGGCTGACTTAAAACAATCTAGAGTAAGAAATACTTCAAGCATCTACACCTTATGAAAGTGAGACCTCGGCGAATAAATATGACCAAATATTGTGTGTTCCATAAGGATCACAAAAATTATGACATGAAAATTTATCACCACCTCCGTAATCTAGTGGAAGAACTCATTCGTGTGGGAAAACTAAAAGGTTTCATGCTAATTGACAATAGTAGAATGCCAAAAAAAGAGCAAATGATGGAACAGAGAAATAACAATCTCAACTTGTTCCATCCATAGCCCGCCATTCTAGGCCCCATGGAAGATGCATGTTGATTCAACCTCAAGTGACTACAATTAGAAGATGTAAACTTAACCACAAGAACATGAACACCAACAATGGAAATCATACCGGTGACATTCTCTGAAGCTGACAAGCCAAATTGGTGGATTGGTGGAAACCCCTGACAAGCCAATTGGTGGAAACCCCCTCCAATGATGGAATTGTGGTTACTGTCATGATCTATTGGTGGAAACCTCCTCCAATGATGGAATTGTGGTTACTGTCATGATCTCAAATTTTCAATTAGGAAAAATATTAATCAGCATAAAAAACTCGATTAATATCATTTTTAAGAGTACGTTTGAAAAGATAAAAATTCAATGAACTCGCCTGCCACGCAACATAGGCTCTATGTATGGGTTTTCAAGAGAAAGAATGGACACCTAAGAACCAATAACCCTACTAATCACCCGAGGGGAAGATCAACAATTAACCATGATGGCTACTTTCATAAGCTTCTTGGGTGCACATCTCTACATATCTATAGCAAACAAAACCCCTACAAGAGGAAAAGATAATCACAATTCAAAAAGAGCAATAAAAGTCCAAGATTTATAATCTCGTGGCTGCAAAAAAAGAGAAGTCAAGAGGAGATAGTGAATGTGGAGAAACAAGTCATAAGTAACCTAGAAACCTCAAATAAAGTAAAAGATGTGTCGACTGAAGAAGACCTCGATCGCACCTTTCAGATTAGTTCAACTTTTGAGGTACAGTACAATGATAAGTTGTTGAAGACATTAAGGAAAAATATCGAGGTATACGTTCCGTCGCTAAACGAAATGCTAAGTCGACAAAGAAGTCACTTGCCATCAAATACATGTCGATAAGAGCATCAGACAAATCAAGTAAGAAATTAGACCCATAACATCAACATTGGTCGACCCAATACACGAAGTACAAAAGTTAATCAATGTTGGTTTTATCAGAAAGCTATAGTGTCCCCTAAATAGGTTTCTAGTGCCCAAGTCAAGCAAGAAGTGACAAATGTGCGTCGATTTTAATAATCAAAATTTAAAATTTGACATGTCTCAAGGATAGCTATACATGCCCTAGATGAATATGCAACCTACTTCCAAGTTATGAACTTTCTAAATGCTTTCTCATATTATCATTAATTTGAAAGCATCTGGCAAACATAAAAAAATAGCTTTCATGACGGGATATTTATCACAATGTATAGTTCTATGCGGACAACTTATTAGAGGGCCATGGACCATATCTTCAAAGTGCAAAAGAGAAGAAATGTAGAGGTCTATGTAGACAACTTGTTGGTTAAAAGTAAAATTTCACAATGGCGCATGTAGAATCTTGATGAAGCATTCACCACCCTCAGAAAGTTCAACATGAGGTTGAATCCACTAAAGTGTATCTTTGGAGCTAGATATGGGAAATATTGGAATTAGCGTTGACCTTGAAGGCTTATAAAAAACTTAAATAAAGTAAAAAATGATAAAGAAAATGCCAATTATCAAATTTTATCGATCAAAT